AGCTCCAAGAGGTTCAAAGCCCTCTCCCAGAGTTTAAGATTCTCTCAGGGCTAAGACCCAGACCTCCTCTGAGTGGCATGTACATATTTGATTATCAGAAGAAGGGAAGGGAGTACTTAAGAAGGGCCGAATCACTCAAGAACTTCTCTAATTAAGCTACTAAATTAATCCTTAATAAGGGTTAGGGTAATCCAGCCAGGAGTGAGATGCCTGAGGCTACAGTCTTTATCCAGTTGAGATCTGATCCAGGTGTCCTTGGCTGTGATCTTATCTTATTCTTTGAGGCTTTCTGGCTTCATCCACCACTACAGGTTTTAGTAGTGATTAGTGACTTACAGATGTTCACTTACTATGTGTCCACCATTTCCAGATAAGGAGCCTAGGCTTTGAGCAGCTTCACAAGTGAACATGAAAAGCCAATTGATTAATTTAAGTCCTGTTCAGGTCTACTGCATAGTAGTCTCCATCCATATGACATTTGTCACTTTTCTACACTTGGGTAATTTTTCTTAAATGTATATGGGAGCTCAGAATATCAGAGCTTTCCTAATATGGATGGCTGGCTCCAGGATGGACTATTATGGCAGAGCTGCCTCATTTAATATGTAACCTCTCAATTCATGGAGGCTGAAATACAGTTCATTATAGGAAATGTGTCAGAGAGGTATGGGTCAGGGACAAGAGCTCTCTCTTTGAGTTCATGGATTAATTGAAGATCTTATCTGATCCAGGCTTGAATGCTCAAAATTGTTTTAAGCTATGAACTGATCAACACATTAACCCATGGATAAATACAGTGCTTCCAAGCTCTGTTCATGTTCCCATATCCAGCCCTCCTGATGCATAAGAATTCTGTGTGACTTTCTAGATCTAATATATACAAGAGTTCTACCTTCTAGCCTATGATTACAACTCTTTCTTCAGTACTCTGAAATTTCCTATACAGAATAATTTTACCTATTTGGTGAAGTTGACTTTAAGTACCTATGGTACATATTGAATTGTTGTAAAGAATAGATTCCCTGATTATTTTCTCAGTGTTCAATTTTGAGGATAAAAATGGGCTATTGCTTTCTGACTCATGATGATTATTTTGCCATTTGGCTATATTCGCTCATGAGATCCTACATGCTTCTATTTGTTTCATCAGCAAATATAAATTACATGACCTTTTCTGTTTGTTAGTTTTCATCTTGTCTTACTCCTATTGTTTTATTTTCTGCTGATCCTTATTTGCTTTGGCTTCATTGTAAGTAATACATTGAATGAGAATGCTGAGATAAACCCAAATATATTGTCTGAGTTTAGAGGAATATTGTCACTGCTTATCAAGCGGTATGATGTGTATTCAACATCACATGTCATCTTGATAATATAGACACTTGAGTTTCAGCATATTTTTGTAACAGCAAACAACACACTTGAAAAATTATCAATATCTCTTGCCATGAGAGAAGTACAAACTAGAACAGCATGAAGGTTTCTTATCCCAGGAAGTGTGCAATCTTAAAGAAGTTAAAGAGTGGGGCTGGGAATTTAGCTGAGCGGCAAAGCGCCTGCCTGGCAAGCGCAAGGTCGTGAGTTCAGTTCCCGGTACCGGAGAAAACAAGCAAACAAACAAAAAAACAAAACAAAACATAAAAGAAGTTAAAGAGTAAGGAGCACTGGTCTGTCTGTGATGAAAAGGGCACATACCTAAATTGTGGGTAGAATGTAATCTTCTAAGTATCCGTAGTTCTCAAAGAAGTGAAAGTAGAAATTCCATACGATCCAGGTTTCCCATTAAAAATACTTTTCCAGGATTGCTTCATAAATCATGTAACAGTCATTTATGCACAGCAAAGTTTATGGCAGCGCAATTCCCAATAGCTAAAGTCCAGGGATCTGCCTGTATCTCTGTAAAGTATTGCAGTAATCCAGAGAATGTGATCTCAGTACTTTATGTGATGTTGCTTCACTGTAAAGATTGATGAATTTGAGACATTTCAAGCAAAATGGATGCACCAGGAAAATACAATGCTGAGGGAATTAAAGCAGAAAGATAACTTAAACACTGCATTTGATCTCTCGGTTGAGAAGTGCAAACTAAGCATAAAGAGTAAAATGAAAATGGTTAGGAGAAACGAAACTGCGTTGCTCCCTCTCAGATGTGAAGTGGTCCCAGAAAGAGAGAGGAGGAGAAATGTGGAGAGTGAGTAAGGATGTCCAGTGTGCCATGTACAGATTCTCAACACCCACAATGAATATAAGTAGTACTTGTCAAAAACGTGATTGAAGAATGTTCATATCAACCAAAAATGAAAGATAAAATGGGGAAAGTGTTTGTAAAGATGGGGGATGGGGCTGAGGATATACCTCAGTGGTACAGTGCCTACCTGGCAAGCACAAGGTCAGGAGTTCGATTCCTGGTACCAAACAAAAAGAAAAATAAAGAAGGGAGAGAGAGGTGGACAGAAAGGGGATTAAAAAGACAAGAGCTCTGTTTTGTATGTTTACTCATTTCAAGATATATATAAACTTCCCATGAAGAAAATATACACTAACAAAATAAAATACAATTTTAAACATACCAATATAAAATATTTCATTGCTTATGTTTTTCTGTTCACATCTAATTCAGTAAATTTATCTCAGATCTTGCCATTTAACATGAGAGTTCCCGGGTTTACTGCTCCCAAGAGGAATGTGAACTTCACATACAGGAAACACGCATTAACACAATAAAGTAAAGTTTAAACAAATAAATATAAATTTTTTATGCTTTTCAGTTCACATCAAATTCATTACATTCATGTGAGGTCTCATTTAACTTTAGAATTCTGGGTTTATTATTGTTACTTATTTGACATGGAAGATATTTTTCTGGAGGCATCTTAAATGTATAAAACTGTAAATTGTAGATATAGCCTTCCATTTTAGAACTACAATCACTATGTCCCAAATTTTGAGGCCTATCTTGCTTCTATTATCATAGGTTCCACAAAGTTTTACATTTCCATGATGATATATGATATAAACTACTGAGCACTCAAAATTTCATCAATCAATCTCCATATATTTCTACAATTTCTATCAATTATTTACTTGTAGAATTCTCATTTTGCATGGAAAGGAATGTCCTTTGGAGAGCATGAGATGCATGGAACTTCATGGGGTTTACCATTTTAATTTTATTAATTACTGTTAACTACTTGCTTTTGTAATTATTCCAGAAAGGAAGACTACACACGAAGAAGAGGAGAAGTTAAAGACACAAAGTATGAAGAAGAAGAAATCACGCACCATCAAGCCCAGGGTATATTTTAGATACATGAATACTTGCACAGATCGAAACGACCTTTCAATGAGAAAAGTTAATATTTGAGGATAATAGCATTCTATAGGACAAGAGTAAGGACTCTCTCAATCACATGGTGTGGATACCTTGAGATTATTTAGAATGTCACATATTTTCTGGATTATGATGTGTAAACTTAACAAAAACATGTACAGTTTCACTGAAACTCTGAAAAATTCCAAATCATCATTATTAACCTATTCATTTTTACTTGTGATACTAAAACATAAAAATATTCCTCTTATCTGATAATTGGATACTATGATTATACAGGGAGAAAACACTAATTTCTCTAGAATTTGCTAATTAATGTACAATTAATCATTAGTAAATATAACTTATATAGATATATTTTTATAACATAAACAACAGTTGATTTCCTTCACAAAATAGGTAAATCATACTGAAAAAGACTATTCAGTTTTAATGAATTAAAAAAAATTAGCTGACGAGTGTGACTTCATACATCTTTTACATCACACTCCACATTACCACCGTATACTTATGGTGTGTAAAATCCCTGATTGTGAATTCATAAATAAAGAGACAAAGATATATTTCAAGAAGACAAAAATTATACACAACCAACATGAGAAACACTCTTACCCCCACTAATCACTCAGGAAACACACTATGACTTATAGTCCAAGGGGACATTTTCTTTGTTTGTTTGTTTGTTGGGTTTTTTTCCGGTACCCGGGAGCGAACTCATGACCTCGCACTTGCCAGGCAGGTGCTGTGCTGCTAAGCTAAATCCCTACCGCCAAAGGAATATATTAACGTTGCATATTTGGAAAATGTTTTACTAAAAGCTCTGAACTTACATATCCTAAAGTGTATGAATTTCATTTATTGGAAAATAAACTTATGTTTCAAACTTCAACTGCAGGAGAACCCACAGTGTGAGGAGATAGATTTTGAAGGAAATCAGTATGGGAAGACCCTGGCATATCCTTCTGCATTCAGAAGACACAAGATAAGTAATTCTGCAAATGAATGCTATGTATGGGGAAAAATCTTCAATCGGTCTTCTAAATTTTGTCAGCATCAAACATCAGATCCCGGTGAAAATGTATATAAATCTCATCTTTGTTGGAAAAGCTTGAATAATTTATTGAACCTGCAAAGTCATAGGAGAACACACACAGGGGACAAAACTTATGAATGCCAACTATGTGGGAAGGTCTTCTCTCAATTATCTCACCTTAGTATACATGAGAGAACACACACAGGAGAGAAGCCATATGAATGTCATGTGTGTCACAAAGCTTTTGCTCGTACTAGTACCCTTAGAAATCATAAGAGAACACACACAGGAGAGAAACCATATGAATGTCATCTATGTGAGAAGGCCTACTCTCGATTACATCACCTGCAAATACATGAGAGAACACACACAGGAGAGAAACCATATGACTGTCATTTATGTGGGAAGGTCTTCACTCAGTTACCTAACCTGAAAATGCATGAGAGAACACACACAGGAGAGAAACCATATGAATGTCATCTATGTGGGAAAGCGTTCTCTCAATTGCATCACGTGCAAATACATGAGAGAACACACATGGGCGAGAAACCATATGAATGTCATAGATGTGGGAAGGCCTTCTCTCAATTACAGTACCTGAGAATTCATGAGAGAACACACACGGGAGAGAAGCCATATGAATGTCATGTGTGTCAAAAAGCTTTTGCTCATTCTAGTACCCTTAAGAATCATAAGAGAAGACATACAAGAGAGAAACCATATGAATGCCATCTATGTGGGAAGGCCTTCTCCATATTATCTAACCTTAGATGGCATGAGAAGACACACACAGGAGAGAAGCAATATGAGTGACATCTGTGTGAGAAAGTTGTCACTGTATCATATTCCTCATGTATGCGTGAGAAAAAAAAAACATAAGAGAGAAAGTATATGAAGATCATGTGTGTGAAAGAAGTTTCAGTCAATAAGGTAATTTCTGACAGAGAAAGCACAAAGCAGAGGAACCACATAAATGTCATTTTTGTGTGAAAGCCTACACTGCATACACTTATGTTGGACAGCAGGAGAGGACTCACCGTGGACATGAATCATAACATCATTCTCCACGTGTGAAATAAATATGTCAGGATTCTGTACTTTTGTGATGTGACTGACCACATACAAATAAAACAGTAAATGCCTGCAGCAAATGTTGTGACCTCGTGTGAGAGAACAAGAACGTAATGACTGTGCCGGCTGCCTTCTGATAAGTGGGGTTTGGCTGGAATCTTCAGCACATTCGCTCCAGCTCTTTCACCCAGAACTGGGCTTCCACTGTCTCTTGCTGCCGCCTTTCCCAGTCTAAGTGCTTTGGATGGGATCTGTCTTCCACCACCTGAACATGCACAGTTGATCCCCCATGGGACTAGTCTGCAGGACGGGTCCCTCAGTAGGGCCACCCCATGTCTTATGTCTTCACTCCCAGGATCGTTCCTTGTTCTTTGGGGCCCAAATATCCCCAGTATGCCCAGAACTGCACACCGCACGTCAGACTGTTCTATGCTCCTCCAAGGCATGAACAGTGTATGTGGGCAGACACCACATCCCTCTAAACAGAAACATTATTTTCCAGGCAACCAGGGTGGTCCCATGGCCAAACCAACTCCCGCAGTCATACCTAGTGTCCCACCACTGGTCCTCATCAGCTTTCTCCAAATTCCTCTGCTTCATTCCTTCCACAGTTCACTCCGCACCCTGAAATTTCCACCCTAACCCCAAGGCTCCTGGTTATCTACACCCGGTCCTGTCCCTGTGGGCTATGCTTTGACCCTGCCTCTTCACACTCTTCCCAGGCTTCTCATGAATTTATCATTTAACAGGTCCCTCCATGCTCCCATGGGACCCAGCTCAGCAATTTATTAGTTCCCATGGTTCCTGAACATTTGTAAACATCCCAATCCCCAAATGGTTTCTCTGCTGCTCCACCTGTACTGAGGGTCCTCCAATCCTGCACAGTTCTACCCACCCAAGTTCCATCCACTAGTTTCCCCTAGGGTCCTTCTGCAGAGAATGGGGCTCCCTGGTAGGCAGAGGGAGCACAGAAACGCAGACCTCAGAAGGGAGAAGAAGAGAAGGGAAGAGGCTGCATTTTGTTGAGAACAAATGGGTAGAAGTTGCAAATGTGGGTGTTTGAAACCCTTTCCTCTGTTGTTACCCTGGACTGAGAGTTGACTGAGGAACATCGTAAGGGCGGGGGTTCCATCCCTAACCAGCACCTCTGTTTACTTTGTGTCCGACCCAACCGGCTTGGAGTGCTTCACATCTCCACAGCTCCTTCTCCACTAATCCTCCCTTTCCCCCTGATTGCTGCTGTCCTCCAGGTCCAGGTCTTTGCATTTCCGCTGCTGAACTTCCATTTGTCTCGGTGTCCCATGCCCCGTATTTCTTTTCTCTCCACCTTTCCTTGTGTCCCTCTGCGTTTCTCCCGTCTACTCCCATTGGCCGGCATCAGTGCTCTTCCTTTAAATTTGGCTCTCCCATCAGAGAGTTCCTCACTCCAGGCTCGGCTCCCTCCACCCTCCTCAGTTCCTTGCCAGCCTCTTCATGCCCCTCTGTTCCTCGTGCCAGGACACCACTTCTTTTGCATCCTTAAATCAAGGCCTCTTGCCTTCTATTGCACCTGGGTGCCTTCTATCCACTGTGTGATCCCATTAGCTACTGTTCACACTCATCATATTGTGATGATACTGTGTTTTCCTTTTTCACAGAAGCAAATAGAGTTCTCTTTTATACTTTATACTTTCTTAGTAATATCCACATGTATAACATGATGCTAAATATAAACATTTTAAAGATTAGTAAATAAGTAGATCAAAATTTGAATTGCTAATTTTCTCCCTTTTAAAATCTCTGGTATTGTTTTAAAAGAGATATGTATCATTTCACAGTTATTAAAATAGTATGTGTAATTTGAAAAGAATTACACTCATGTTAATGAGTAGAACAAAAGTTAATTTCTTGTGATATGATGCAACTGTCCTGTCCACAACTGGAAATACCTTCATTCCTTAAACAGATACAACATCTCCACCAATTTTCAAAACACTGTGTCAAAGTTTTTTCTGTTTCACAAGGTAGACTCCTAGCTGTGAACCTGAGGAAAAACAAAAAGCAAGTGGCAAAATCCTCAGGTATGGTGGCATAGAATAAACACTCCCACTCTGTAAATAAGTAGATAAAGAAATAAATAAATTCA